CCAGCAAAAGCGTCTGGTCTGTATGACCCATGTTTGTTTGCAGAATGCTTTTGTTTCAGATGAATTCATTGAAGACATTTAAAATACTTTTTAAAGTTTTTAAAGACTCTAAGTACTTTTAAAATCTATACTGCTTACGTTTTACTTAGGTTGAGTATTTTGTGGTTTCCACTGATTCTGCAAAGTATTGATAATTAGTAAATATAGCTTGAGAGTTTATATATTGAATTCAATAAATAGTTTATTAGTGAATGTTACTAGTTTGAATGTTATGATATTCATTCTGAGTTGCTGCTTCTTTAAAATGCAAATAAATATCTAAATATTGATTTTATTAAAGTTGCTAAATTTCAGTTAAGGCTTTCTTGGTTAAAATGACAATCTGTAAAAACTTTTCTCTAGAGGAAGGAAACATAAATATTTTATACAGATTATATATTTGTGAAAATGTCTTTCTAACAAGGACCCAGAGTTATACTAGGACCCCAAGTCAGACTTCTGATCAACTCGACCTATCAGATCACACACAGTCAGGAATCTGGAAGTTCTTAAAGATGACTCTGACCAATTTAGATAGCTGTTTCAAACCCTTATTTTCTGTGTTTAAAAGGCCCCAAATCTTGGTTTATAATTTACTTTAGGTTTTTGTCAGGATTTCCATTAATAATTGTCATAAAATTTTAACTTGGGTTAACAGTTCAAATATCTGGAAAATTCTTGCACAAAGAATACCCCATTCTTCAGTGATATTGGCTACATGAATTATAACCAGTTGCTTGATGATATATGAAGTTTTTGTAGTTTATTTGAATGTTATTAAGTTTTTAATTGTATTGCTCTTGACTTTAGGCCTTGAACCAAAGACAATGATTGATTTAACTGAATTTAGAAACAGTAAACGCTTAAAACAGCAGCAGTACAGAGCTGAAAACCAAATTCTTTTGAAAGAGGCAAGTATGGTGATCGGTTGATTATTTTCTTGGTTGAACTAAAGAGAAATACTAATAATTCATACTTTGCAGATTGAAAGTCTGGAGGAGGAACGAATTGATTTGAAAAAAAAAATTCGTCAGATGGCTCAAGAAAGAGGAAAAAGAAGTGTAACTTCAGGTATGCTCAGTTATTCCAAACCTTTAAAAGAATCATTGGGAAGTGAGTTGTCTAGATCTGAAATTTTCTGTATATTATTTTTGCTATTAATACATCACTGTGGTTCTGCTACAAGTTTAATGAATGAAAATAAGTGGCCTGAAGAAGAGATAAGTGGGTATCATTGGGTTTAAGCCCTGAATATGAAACAGGTAAAAAACAACAAGCAAATGAAAATGAACCATAGAATTGTGGAGTTATGAAAAGTTTATATTATAGTCTCTTAAATTCTAGA